TTTCCCTCTTGGTAACATCCATTTGTATTTATGAATTCAGTAGCTCACGTGGAGCTGAACGCATAGGCTGTACCAGAAGGATGTTGTCTAGACCTGCACAAGAACAATGCACAACATGGTTGTCAAGGCGGGAAACCAAGCAAACCAACAGTTAAAATCTTGATCACCTTGTTTTTACACATCATTTTGCACCAAGAGAGAAAACTCTAAAATTAATATGTAAGTTATGGCTCATTTGTTCAAAAGATTTCCGGCTAAATCTTCTGTTGGCAGCTGAAGCTATTGTTAAACACAAGGATTGCCCTGAAGTGTGTATACGGAAGTGCTTTGTCCTGTCACCGTTACTACAGTGAACTTAAACTATTTCGGCTTGTACAATAATTTGGTGTGTGATGCATGTTCATTCGTTTGTCTTCTTTCTTTCAAAATTTTAAAATGCACTGCATACATATTCTGACTATGTTACTCTTGCAAAAAATATTGATTTTTTCAAGGGCCTAGAGATTAAATCATATTCATTTCTGAATACTGTTCACTACTTCATTACTTCAGATTACGCAATACTACTCAACCAAGTGTCGCAATTTATCCATTTCTTTTCATGTCTAATTTACTATTCACTCTGGTTATTAGTCAATGACCCTTAGTGACATTTTCCATGACCTTTCCGTAAAACGGCTCAACTGTACAACTTTGATTAGAAGTTACCAAAAAACTGTATGTTGACTAATAGCTTTTTAATTTATAACACGCGAGTATTTTTCAGACATTATAATAAACACTCCCCCCCCTCCTCCCTTATTCTAACATTACAATGTCTGTCTTTGACCCGAATGACTAATAGGCTATCATCAGGTCACCTATTTGAAATTAGACAATTGACGTTCCAAAGATGACTCATTATTTCTATGTCATTAGGTCATGGGGTGATTTTTATCACTTATGCTAAAATTATAAGAAAATGTCAACAGTAGTCAACTGACTGACGCAATAGCGAACAAGATCATTAAGCGTGACTCATTTTTTCTTTTGGCTATTACACTATATGCATTAACTGTAAATTAATGAATGCTTAACCGTTTCTTATGTCACTATGGTAAGGTTATTTACTAATGCCTAACTTATCTGACTCCAGTTCACTTCTTATCCACTTAATCTTTTACAGTTTGACCAAGTTTGAATAGGTGGCTGAGATTACTTGTTGTGGCGGGGTAATACTCTTCTAAGCTTTGTAGATAATGTTCTGCTACCGATTACGGAGGTTGTGCTTTCAACTTTGAATTTCAGGTGTATACTTAGCTTCTCCTATGACACATGTGTCTGTTATTGATCATCAATCTGACTTGTTATGTATTAACTGACAAATCTCGTGGAATAGTCAGTCTGAATCCAAGTGTTCCGAAAAGACTCCATTTGCAGACTTAATGGGTCATCTAAGAGAGATTCTTGTGAGAAGAGATATGATGATGTTCCTTTTACTACATTTTTTTATTCCTTTACATTCCAAGTAGAACATAGGGCTACTTCAAGCTAGAGGCTTGAAGTTTCGGTAGCAGTGGTGTTTATCTTTACAGGATGAGGTTGCTAGTCTCATGCCCAACCTTCCCTCTTTACCAGTCTTATTACTGGCTTTGTGAGGTAAAGGAGTGCGTTGGTGGCCGGGGATCGAACCCGAACCACGTGTGGTCGGTGAGCATTCTACCGCTGTGCCACCGACGCACCCGTTTACTATTTATTGTAGCAAAATCGTAGAATTCAGTCAGCTGCTCGTTCCATCTTAGTCTGTGGTCAATTGGTGACTGATATATAAGTTTCTCTTGAATACTGAACATCTATAAAACGGGGGCTTTTCCTTCTAACTCAGCTTCTCATGTAAATTCAATGGATTGAGCATTATAACTAAATACTTCACAAAATTTTACTTAGATCTACATTTTCACTGACAATGATTGATAATTCATTCATATATTTTTCTCAATCCTTCCATAATTTTTGCTACCCAATTAAGCTACTGAATGTCATGGTGATTTAGGCATATGTACATGTGGTGTTATTTTTGAGCCTTCTTTACAAAACTTAAGTTAGCCCTAACCCAGAAGATTCATTTCTTTCAAAATTCTCAACACTGAATCTCCCTTCACTTTTCAACAACTTTTGTTAACTGTTTTTTCTATTAGTACAGGGTTATCTTCATGTCCAACTACCTTTGTTAACTTGATGTCATCATTTTTGTATAATCTGATTTCTTTAATATGACAGCTGCATTGCCTTCATCTCGAGGTGAAAGGAGAATATCTTTATTGCTGGTTAGTTCTTTCATTTCGACAGCATACAGTGAGTCAAAAGCTGATGATATTTCTCCTAAGTTTGAATAACCCACCATTTCCATGAGAGATGTATTAGTTCCTGATAATGTTACTAAAAACAAGATTATATTGTTCGTCCTGAGGACGGACTATTCTGACAGATATTGTTTTAGCTAGTGAATTTTACTGAAATAAAAGCCAGAAGCATCGCTGTGCGTCGGTGGAACAGCAATTAGGACTCTTGCCGACCATGCACATAGTTCAGGTTTCCATCCCCGGCCGACGCACACCTGATATCAATGGTCGGCCTGCAAAACTTTGTCTGCCAATATCACATGCTGAAAATTCCATACTTGTACCAAAAATACGGTGTGGAACCAAGCTATAATCAAAATGAAAAATAGAATTTGCTAAATTTCAGTTTACACTAGTGCTCAGTCCCCCCCCCCCCCCCCGAGTTTCTAAATACTCTTTCTCACTGCCATATTAACGTTAACATTTACCGACGTTAAATTACTTTTGAATCATATATTGGTGAATTTCACCATCTAATTTTAGCTTGTAATCAATTCGAATCCTATATTGAAGGTCTATGGACAGTTTTAATTTTTGGCCTAATCAGAGATTTAAGGTTATCTAATCGTTTGAAGTATCATTCAAATCAGTGCAGTAGTAGTAGAAGTAGTGACTTGAATAAATTTCTATCAAAACATTTTCTTACCTGAGTTTTTACTAACAACATTTGTTTGCTTGTGTCCACGTTTATCTGAAATGTAACTAAATGATACAGTATTTAACTGAATTACAAACCCATTGACATTTATATACAACATAAACACATTGTAATTGATTATTGTGAACAATGTCTAGGATATGCATTTGAAATTTGTTAGCTCAATGGAAGAGTTGCAGCCTTTCTTAAAATCACCAATAATTTGTTTTATAGTGTAATTTATGTCTAAGCTAGCTCACACAGTCTGTAAAAAGAAGCCTTACATTAAAAGAAACATACTTGTAATCCATCTGCGATAATAATTAATCGCTACAGTAATAAACTTGTGCGTCGGTGGCACAGCGGTTAGGACGCTCGCCGACCATGCACATGGTCCGGGGTTCGATCCCCGGCCGACGCACTCCTTTACCTCGCTAAGCCAGTAGTAAGACTGGTAAAGAGGGAAGGTTGAGCATGAGGCCAGCAACCCCATCTCGTAAAAACAAACACCACTGCTACCGAAACTCCAAGCCTCTAGCTTGAAGCCCTGTGTTCCACTGGGAACGTAAAGGAATAAAAAAACAGTAATAAACTAACACCCAGTGAACAAAGTATGACTACTACAATTCATTGGTCTAATACATATTATTGTGACTGTCGCTGTGTTCGATGAGTATTGGTTACATTATTACAATCATATAAAGCCACATTCAGATGGCGAGGGGTAAACAAAATGAAACAAGTAGTGTGTTCTTCTACCAAAAATATGTAATAGATGGTTTTGTTGTGTTCTAATTATTTTCCTCTTTTGCATTCCCACTGGAATATAAGGCTTCAGTAGCGGTGATGTCGTTTTTTAGGCAGGAGAGTTGCTAGCTTCACTCCTAACCTTCCTTCTTTCCTCAGCTTATTACCATTCAGTAGACTAGGCAGAGTTTTAGAGTGGATCGACCGAGAATCCAGCCCATACCTCCAACGCATTCTATGCAAACGTTAAAAGGTATCATAATAGGTATTAATTACATTATTCATACAGTTTTAGTACAAATGTAATAAATTCAGTGAAGTAGTACAAAATCTCACTATTGAAGTTTTTTTTAGTTTTTTTAAATTTTATTATAGCTTGATTCCACACAGTATTTTGGTACAAGTATGAAATTTTCAGCATGTGATATCGGTAGCCCAAATTTAGCAGGCCGACCATAGATATCAGGTGTGCGTCGGCGATGGATCTAACCTCGAACCATGTACATGGTCGGCGAGAGCCCTAACTGCTGTGCCACCGACGCACAGCGGTTAATGATCGCCAATGTGTTCGAAATATAAACATTTATGGGAAACAGACTATTAATTCTACATTGACCACAAAATACTTCAACTTTTTTGTAATTTCGTTGTCTTTACCAAAGATTGTAAGAGCTACGCTTGACCAAGGAGCATAGTAAACCTTGAGACATTTTCTGAATATCAGTAAAATTGAAAAGCCTTACAAAAATGACCAGTAGAATTTTCCCCACAAAAACCTTCATTATTATTATATTTGACTGTTTATGTATACATAACAAAATAAATCATTTAATTACTAGAATTACCATGTCATCCCATCCTAGAAACTGATCCATTTTTAATCACGAAGTTTAATGTAACAACCCAGAAGTTTCGAGTCCAGATTGCAATGCGTTGATTTGGAAAGTTGGAAGTGAAGAACAAGAAAACCCTCTACATATAAGGTATACTTTATTTAACTATCATTATTCAACAAAATATGTCTCTATAAACAAAGCGGGAAGTGATATCGCAGTGACTACAGTCCATATAAACTTGAACACAGGAGTCCAATGAATTATTGCAGAAGTGTTCAGACAGCTAACCTGATAAAAAGATTCCTGTTGCATATACTTTAAAATATTCCTGTTTTTTAATTAATCGTCTGCATACATTTATTATTTTTTTAATTTGTCTTCTTCTTTGTACTATTTCAGTGGAAACCTTATGTCAGTTAGAATCAGAACTTGTATTAAAAGCAGTAAAAAATTTGATTGAAGGACATACAGATGATCAGTATAGTGAAAATTTGATCAGTTTTTGGCTAAAAAACTGTATTCATCGATCAAAAGAAGGTAATTCAGTTGCATTTTATTTGATATCAAAAGTACTAGAGAAATAAGAATTAAGTAAATAATGACTAGAATTTCAACCACTATACTGACAACCTACAATAAAGCAATAAAACTTGACTTCTTAGTGTATGTCCGAATATTACATGGTCTGAAACAATCTAGAGTAAGCATTACGAGTAACATGTGTGATCCTTTTCACTAGGTTCCAATCGCTTCTCTGAGTCAAAGTAGTTCAGCTGAATTTCATGCATTTTACAATTTACCGAATACACAAAAGGTCTGCCTTGATGAGAAAGACTTAGCAAGCAGTCTAGAATTTGTAGAATTATATAGCGCCTAACAATAATGAAGTGTGACCAGGTTAAATTTTGACATAGTTTATCCATAAAATTTCACATGCTTTTCTACCGTAATGTAACAGAAAATGAAAAAGAAATCTGAGGTTATGAAGCTTCCTAGTTAGTAATGCAGTTGAACGGAACACTATTTAATATGATGGTTGATTGGCTTGCCACTAAAATATCTCAATCTCTGGTTGATTATTTTAAGCAAATGACTTTCAATTCCATCGCACCTAAAAAGGTTCGGATAGTGTGGTAGAATCGCTAATCATCACAAAACAGACTGCCTGATGCATGTGAATTCATGAGGTCAGTAAGTAAACATTCCGATATACTTCTAGCAACGAAATACTGGTGATTCTAAATGAGTAAACCAGAATAACTTATGATAAAATGAAGGAACTCATAGTTTCTTACTCAAATAATGAAATTTACGAAAAAGGTGAATTGGTGAAAACAGGTCACTTCGATTAAATACCTTTGCACAAACGAAAGGCAAAACCATCAAAGGTTTGTCTTAATGGAAATTAATGCAGGCAGCGAAAAGGAGATGTTGGTCCGTTAAATGAAAACGTCTTCAGAATATGATCTTAAGTTCAATTTTCTTTTATATCTAATAGTCCAGAAAGCTCAGACAATCTCAGCTTGTCCATTCCCAGTTTCATTCTCTCCTAGTTTTGTTTTCAACACTAAACTATATAGGTAATCATACCTAGTTTTATTGATCTTATTGAAATTTTTAAAATGATATATGGTAATTTACATTCTTTCTTGTTTTCAGAAATAATACAGAAGCGCCCGTACTATGGTTGAAGACTGATGCAATAAACAGAAGAACTAATACCTATTTGCAATCACTAATTACTTTACCGAAATATACCATGATATCATACCTTGAGTACATCTTTCATTTGAAGATAACTATGTTGCTTTAAGGGGTCATTATCAGAATTAAGCTGATTTAGATCCGTTTACATTAGGTGGACTGTTACAGCTAATTGTTCATAGTCATACCGTCGAATTAGCTTCACCTAAACGATTCTTAAGATGTACTATAAAGCAACTGACTTCATGGCCTAGTATCAATTAAAGCGATAGTCCATGTATAAATTTATTGTAACTCATACTTTACTCTATGTTATTAATATTTTACACATCTGTTATAAAATCAGATGTTTCAGTCACAGCCTTGAAAGACTATATACTTCTAATTACTGCAGTATAGCAGTTTTACTTAAATCTACCTATTAAACACAAACTTGGCACATTGTTGGTACAGAGAAAAATATCGTACAGAATAGTTCAATAACGGCATGAATGAAAGCTAGAAAAAGTAGTTGGAGAACGACAGAAAAAAAAAACAGGTAGATAAACTTCGCATAAACATTCAAAGAAGGTTCCCTTACTTCCTATTACTTGTAGAAGTAGTCGAAACAAAAAATGCAGCATGTATGCTTTTGATTTCAGTGCTCATTCATCTCATACAACATCTCAAGCCACTGTTGAACAAAGATGAGAAGCTGGCAGGACTAGAAATGGTAAGAAAAGGTAAACGCAATCGAAAGAAATCAAGATGGCCTACATGCTATACTATATGATGACAATGAATTGAGCGTTTCAGTACATAGTTCACGGATTAGTTAGTGTAGTAAGTTGCGACACATTAGGAATTAGTTGGGATTTCCTTTAAAATAATCATGAGGTCTCAGATGTTACCATAGATGATTTAAATAAATTTCTTAGTAAGCCCATCTCCCAGCGTTCCCAATGTTGTTAGTGATCAGAAAGAGTTCATATAAAACTTCTTCTATTCGGATTCTGGGTCTAGTATTCATCACTGGATAAGAATTAGGGTTTACCGCTTCTCACTCGAAATTTACAATCTCATTAGTCCTACGATGAACGCCAGCCATTCCCTTTTAAAAGCCCATCCCTCAGCTTATAATGGCATTGAACATAAGTAACTTTACGGTAGCTATGAAATCGCGACTACACGAGAGGATCTCAGAAGTGAAGTCCACTCATCTTCAGTTATTACAGGCCAATAATGGGGGTACCTGACACCATTATATTCACGCGAGTTTCTTTATTCTGTATGTCACACAATAAAAGAGTAATTTTACTAGGTAAGGTTACTAACATAGTTAACTGACCATAACGCGGGCCCTTCGGATGTGTGACAACTACTTTCCAAGTGAAAACCAAAAGTTCACTTAGATCGGTCAACTTTAAACCCTCCGATTTGGTCCATCACAAAGTACCATATACATTATTAATTCATTGTTGTAGTAAGAGAATAACATCATTGCAGAACTGCAATAGCTTAAGTTTATACGTATTAGTAAGTGGATAATATTTAAAATAATGGATAAATCATGCAAGTGCTTGCATAATGTACGTGGTCAGGCATTGCAAATATGTAAGTAGACTGTGCATATGTGTAAGCTTGGAGGGAAAAGACTTCTGTTTCATAACAAGGAGATAATAAAGTAACTCAGTTAAGTGTGGGTTGAAGGTGAAAGCTAATGGAGGGAAAGCGGCCACAAAAACAGAAGTTACTTTGAAAATTTTGATGGTAACTTCCTCAATTATGCTTAGCAATGGAAGATGTACACCTCTAGTGAAGTGATTTGGTATTTTGTGTGGAATTATACAATTTACATTTTTGTCAATCTGGTACTCTCTATTTACTCCACCTACCAGTATAAGCTTTATAATTCATTTGTCTGAACTTCTAAGGTTATTTTCTGGTAAACTTACATGCACTTGCCTGATAGCGTTTTGAGTAAAATTTATTGCTCGTGATCACATTACTTAAGGACAAAGCCTATCATTAAATTATTGTTTTCATGTAGCCACTAGTCGTGAAATCGCTTTCATAAGTAAAAGTAAACTTATATGACTTTCGCAACCTAAAATTGCTAATGATAATTGCAAAATAATATTGTATGAATACCACTGACACCCGAAAATTCAAAGCAAACATATCTTGGTGATGAGATAGCTTCTTTTTGACATTCATTGGTGGCGCTGTAAATAATAGTTCTGCTAACCAGCTCTTAGAGTTGAACAATCTGAGAGAAACTGAACTTCGACAGTATCTTATTCGATCAAACGTTTTGATCGCCTCTTAGTTTTTTATTTAAGTACCGGCCGGACTACCAACAAAGTTATTACTTTAGGTAAGACAAGCTTCGAAAGAATATCCGAGATAAAGCGTTCAGAATTATACAAGTCATGCTTCCTCTGTCTTGCTTCTATCCTCTCAACTGTAACAGATACATAATAAATACAAAACCCGCTTATATATGAGATACTGTTATGGTGCTTATCGCATAACGGCATAATAATTTACATTTACGTTTAGAAAGATGGGAACCTAGGAAACAGGACATAAAATGACATCTGACAGTCAATAAAGGTTAAGTTGATAAACCTATAACATGAATAGATGCTTCTCATGAGTACATCTCAGCATCTCTGTATCACAGCTTTAAACCATGTGACGAATAAATAAAGCATATCATTAACAGTGTACCAGCTCCACAAGTATTGCTCCAAACCTTTACATAATCTACCTAATCAGAATAAATACGATATGATAAAAGCAATCAATTGCAAAGTTTCTCTATAACATTGTCAGTTTAACTTATGCTATGCAAAATTAAGTTTAGAACACATTTATTGTACTAGTACTCTCTACTACACCTAATCAGAAACTCCTACTGAACACCCGACACCTTCAAAAGACCTAAATCACTTTCCATTCAATGAAATACGTGTTCCACTAACATAAGTACTCGAGTTTCAGACGAGTTCCAGGTTCAAAACCCCGTTCGACTAGGAAAACTATGTAGAATTGCTAGACCTACACAATAAAAGTGAACTACAGCCTCAAACATCAGAAATATCTTCTGGATGATTAAGTTGTAACTCCCTTAAGCTTTGAACATTGAACTGCGAAATCACCAGAAAAATATTTTTATTACGATGAAAATGACTCAAGCCTACACTCCAAGCGTTGAAAAGGACTTTAGAATCTAGGAGACAAAAGCATTATATTGAACAGTCTAATAAATAAAAGTCAACACATAACTTCATTGTTGGTGGTTTCTCGCTAGTCATGCCGGAAGTCCAACACTGAACCCCGGCTGATACACTATCAGACACTGCCTGGCCCGCAATAAATCCACAAAAGAGGGAGGACTGGACGTGAAACTCGCAACTCAACCCCATAAAAACATCTTTATTGAAACTGAAGCCCTACGTTCCCCTTGGAACACGAAAGAGTAGAAAAATTCAAATTTTATGTAGCCGATGATTTACTAAACCAAAAAGGAAACACAGAAACAACGGGAATGCGAAAGACTTAATATACTCTATAGTCCATAGCAAGAAACACTGTTACAACATCAAACATATGTCGAAAACATAAAAATGTTTGTACACTGTCAATCAACCAAAACTGATTATAAAACCAGTCAAGCTTTCTCAAGTTGAATTGGTAAAAGACTAGCATCCTCTTTCAAGGTTTCTGACATAGAAGTTGTAACCACATGTGCCTAGTTGAAGCAATTGAACATGGCACTGATTTCCGAATCAGGTATTTCAAAATTTGATGGATCTGATTCATTGGCATAATCTGTACTTATTAAAAAATTAATTGAAAAACATTACCATTTTCAGGGGGATCTGTATAAACCTCGAAAGTTTTTCCACGTGACAGAGAGATCACTCCATTCAACAGAGAATTTAGGCTATCCAGCCTTGCTTGTACATCAACATCCTCGTCTAAAACATGAAACAGCGTCCCAAAGCACTACCTGTTTCTGTAGGTGGAATGTATTTTTCAGGCTCATCATTATATGCCTCCTCTGGAATTGATGGTTTTTGGGTTTGCTTCAGTTCTGAGTGTGCAGGGACATTTTGTTGGATGTTTACATCACGCAGACCGAACTTGCGGTTAATTTTGTTAACATTTGGGGTTTCAATCTTCAAATTGTTCCCAACTCGTCCAGAATTTTCAACCAGCTGACCGACCGTGAACATGATGTTTACCTTGAAAACTAAGAGAGCACTTTACCTATGTATCAACAGAGAAGTGAAACTTAGTTCAATCTTCAAGGTTATTTGACATTCCTTTATCCCTTTAGTCTTCAGTGATGACTGATAGAAAGTTAGTAAAACCTAGGTAAAGCTTAAATTTTTTCTTTGAAAGCGTTTGATGTTCCAATATCCAATATCCTGATTACGAGCTAGTATAAACCTGTGATATCTTTGAGCTCGCTTCTCGATTGTAAGGTAGAGGTTCCAGATCTTCGGTGAACTTATGCGTAGTAAATCCCACCACTCGACTGCTTTAGCTCTGGTAGACTCCAAGAGGAGTGGTGCGAGGATTGGTCAAGAATGCGGTTTGTAGTGTGCAGTATGTTAGGACTCAGCTGCTGCCGTGAATGGAGTTTGACCTAACACCCGTTGGTCATTCGGTGTAGTCATAAAAGTAGAATAATAATAATAGGTTGTAGTGTACATAATATAGGTTGAGATAAGTGAAATAATAAAGGTGAAATAATGAAGAAAGAAAGAAAAGATAGAGTAGTCGGTACAGTGGGAGAACACAGGACGGGTCGTGGATTATTGTATGCTTACCCATTGACAATGTGGTTTCAAATTTTAAGAGGATAAGCCATTGAGACACAAAACATGCATTTCTGCATGATTGTCCAGCTTCCGCTTAAAAGTCTCCACAGACGGCGCTGTAGTTACGGCCGCCGGTAAAGCGTTCCAGAGACGGCAAACTCGAAGCGAGAAGAAACGTGAACGCACTCGAGTCCTTGGTCTCTGGTGTGCTATCCTTAGCGGGTTACCTCGTGGAAGCCTATAATCACTTAATGGCAGGATGATT